TGCACCGTTACATTCAAAAATTGTAATGATAGTAAAAACAACTGCAACTTTATGTAAAATACAGAATTTTTTTTTTAGCTGATTTGAATACAGGTAAACTGTTTAACTTTACAGTCACACATTGTAAAAGAACACATTTGTGAAAATACAGATTTTTGATGTAGACATTAGTTCCAGCTTGAGCTTGTTTTAGTCATGGTTAATCTGTAAATAGTACTTCTTTTCTGGGCTTTTACCAGTTATGATCTGTAATTTAACCAAAACAGGGAAATTAAATTAAAGTAAAGTAAATCCCTTAAAAACAGCAACAAAAAAACTTTAAAACTGTTAAAAAAAAAAACCAAAAAAAAAAAAACAAAGAGAAAGAAAGAAAGTTTTTATAGTGTGCGCTCCTTTTGCTGGTTTGTGCATTTAATTTTTTTGAAGTATTTCTGTTTTGCTTTTGTTCCTCACTTTGTTTTTCTTGCTTGTGTTGCCTTTTTGGATTTTTGATTAACCTTCATCTGCTACCTGTGTTTTGATTCACCTTTTGTGCTCGGCTTGGTTATTAAAACTTGCTTTTGTCTGCATTTGGGCTCCAGCTGACACCCCACATAACATTCACATCTGAGCAGCAGTTAAAAAAACAAAATATATTCAGTTCTCTGTCACATAAAAGAAACAAAAGAAGCAAATCCTATTAGTTTAGAAGCTTGAATAAGGTATTGTTGCGCAGTTTTGGCTGAAAGATGAAATAAAAGGTTATTAGATTATCAAAAAGCTGCCGATTATTCTCTTTATTAACCAAACTGAGTAGAGCAGGAAGGAATTGCTTGGTCTAAATAGTCCTGTAATGCAAATCCACCCGATAACCAGAGTTCACAGAAGTGCTGGGTTTTTTCTTGTCTTCTATACATGATACATACATTCATGACAGCTTTTGTCACTTCTCACCTGCTATGGAAAGATAATGCACTTAAAAATGCACATCTCATTCACCTTTCGCCCCTTCCCGGACCTGTGGAAAAGGACTAGACGGGAAACAGCTAGACGTCAGGCCCTGAGAGCTTTATCTACTTGGAATTCCTTCAGCTCAGGGTCGCCTTCGGTGCAGACCTGAGACCCTCCATTCCTCTGATAAGAGCTGGGCAAAACAGATACATGCTGTACTGTGCACACACTCAGTTACTGAGGCACGCTTCAGTACACACAGCACTCATCTTACCAAGAGGAAAATTAGAAGAAAACAGTGGAAAAACTATTTATCTACTGAGGCATAGTGTGAAAGTGAAAACAATGTTCATCTCCATATCTGGTATTAGTCAGCTACCACAGACTTCCATGTTGGGTCATGAAAAGCATTCATAACTTCATTTACGCAAATGTTCACTTTGGCAAACAACAACAGTGAATAGATGCATTTTTAGGAGCCATATTAAGAAGGTTTTCTCATGCTTTCATTTCTTTCCTGATAAATAGGCAAGCATCAGATAGAAAAAAAAAAAAAACACAAGACAAACAAAAGAGAAGGAGCAACAGATTAAACACATTTAAGGAGTTTGAATACTGTTAGTCGATTTTTTTCTTGCTTCTCTTCACTCTAAAGCAGCAATAAAACGTTTATTTGAAGCAAGAAGTGTTAAATCTTTTTCTATTAAATTGTAGTCTGAGCCTCCAACTTTGAAATATTTTTCACATTGTATCTGATTGCACAGGAACACTGTGTGAAGCCGCACAGACAGACAGACAGCAACACCTGATAAAGTGTGTTCAGTCAGCTCAAGCTCAAATAAACGAAAGAGAAGTTCCTACTTTTTTTTTTTTTTTTTTAGAGTTAAGGAACCAAAAATGAGTCAGCGACTGAAACAACTTGTAAAATATCTATATTTTAATGTAATCACACAGTTCAGTAAACTTTTATGAATGAAAATCAGATTTTTGACAGACTCATATCGTGTTTTTGCACTCTGTTCAGAGGTTGCCTTGTTCAGGTCTCCAATGACCTACTGCTAACCTCAGCTGTAGGTCTTTGCTGTGCTTTGATTTAATCTCATTTTAACATTAACTTCTTTAGTGATGTGGCCCTGCAATGTTTTGCTTCTTACTTTTCAAACAGATCCTTCTAAGAAGAAACTGGTGAAACATCTTCTTAAGGTGCCACCTGCGGAGTTCTTCAGGGCTCGATTCTGGGTCCTTTTTACTTGTCATTTATTTACTGTAATTCAGACATTTTCTTAGTAAATATAATGCCCATTGCCATTCTAGCTTTAGAAATAACACTGATTGTTTTGTCTGGTTTTGTCCCATTAGCCACCTATGTTAAAAAAAGAGACCTGAAATCTCAAAGTGCTTTTTGATTCATGCTTCTCCTTTAATGCTTCGGTGTAAAAATCTTTGAAAGTTCATCTAAGTTTTGAATGTGTTTTCAGAGGTCCAGCCTCTTTCCAAATTCTCTTACGTACAAAGTTCCCTGTTGGTGTTTTGCTGCACAGTGTTTATGCGCTTTGCTGCCGTGAATCAACACGAACAGTAAACACTTGATTTGTCATTTGTCATACTGACCTACATTAAACTTTGGAACATACCTTTGAACAGAATGATGACTGTAAATTTTGTCTGTCATCACTAACAATGGGAACCACTTCAGCAAAGCATCTCTTCATGACCAGTATAAGCAGGAGGAATGATTTCAGCAAGAAAATACGATTTCTTTGTGCATATTAACACCTGGATACCATTTAAAGACGCAAATCTGTCCTTTAAACACTTGACTAAGTCAAACTGAAGTAAGCAAGAAGTAGACTTCTTGTAAACTTGTGCTCAGGTGCTCGAGTGGAGGATTTAGTGCATCTCAAGCAGCACTATTTTTGGTCACAAATGATTTCTCTGCCTGAATATACAGTAACGTGGCTCATAATAAGCCATGATGTTACATGAAGTGAACCCATCTGCTGAGCGGCATGGCCAGCCTGAAGGGCAGCAACAATCAGCTATGATGAATAGTGTCTGTCTCCTCCTGTCAGCCCTCAAATAGCCTGAAGCCAATTGTCAGCATATATAGCAGTCAGTTCACAGAGATGAGTGCTGATACAATTTGTGTCATATTTGAATCAGAGCCAAAAGAAACATGAACTAATGAACCAGCACAAACAAAACAAGATCATGTTCAGCAAACAAAATGCTTTATTGTTGTTAAGTTAACATGACATCAGAGCAGGTAGTCAAAACTAATGTTATATTCACATCTTCCAAAAAATTCTATCTAGCATTGACATTCAAAAAAACAAGACAACAGTGAATACAAGAGAGTGCTGTGTGTTATAAAGAGAAATTGGGGTTGAGCTAAGAGTGAGGGTAGAAGGTGGGAGGCACGAATCACATGGTGTCCTTGGCGACAAGCACAGACACAGCCAGCTTTGGCGTAGTGGCGCTCTCATTAGTGGCACTGCCTGTCAGCACAGTTTCACTCAGAGGGGCTTCCAGCAAAAGTCAGGGGGGGCTTAGATTATAGTGTTTGAGCTGTGACGTCCGTCCATCCTTCCAGGCTCCTTCGTTTGTCACTCCAACGCCCTACCCGTCTAAACAAAGCAGTGCATCGCGGTGGGATTTGGTTGGAAGTCACCACGGCGCTCTTGTGTCTGTCTTTTTGCTGTCAGGAAAACACTAGAGAAAGTGGTTTTTTGAGACAAGAGAAGCTGGAGGGTAAAGGTCGCATCAGCTTCTGTCTGTCCCTATCATCTCTGTCAGATGTGCCGGCATGCCCTGACACATCCTGATGTCAAACATTATGATGTCTTTATCAGGCTGTGTTTAAGAGACACAGGATTGAGGTAAAATGATGGAAGAAACTTTAAAGACCTTATACACCTATTGTACATTTGTTTTTACTTAGTTTGGCTGATTAGAAGGCAAGTTACACTTTTTACAGGGTGTATGACTATGGAAACACTGTAGAAGTCAACATGATCATCAGAAATGGTGCCAATTATTGGCAAAGAAATCACACACTGTTGAAGTAAAAAGTGAAGGAGATGAATTTCTGTAATTTTAAGTGAAACTGTGCATTTTTAACTCCAAAAGTCATACCTTAATTACACTTTTAGTTTTATTAGTCTAATGTTAAAATAATAATGTACTGCACCTGCCTGGATCTTATATGTTGCACAGGTCATTTCTTTATTTTCCTCCTGCTTTTGCAGCACTAACAGTTAGGTTGAGATAAAATGACTCCCACATCAGTACAAAAACGATATCAGCAAGCTCCACCCGAGAGCTGAGACTGACTGAGAACACCTGTGCACATGTGCAGGACACACAGGCACTGGCAACAAAGGAAGGAAATGTTCAAATAGCACCAGACAAAGGGTTAAAAATCAGCTTCGATCCACTTGTCGATCCACCAAAAGCCGCTGTAACATACACATATCTCCCATTCTTCACCTAAATCCAATTCCGATGCCTGCAAACTCCCTCCTGTGCGCCACATTTCACGTACACATGATCACACGTCAACCTCCACCACGCTACATATTAGTTTAACTCGATCACTACATTTCAAGGCCTCTTCTATGGCAGCTAATCGGAATCAGTGCTAAAAAAAAAAAAACAATCTGCTCTGACAGCCCAAGTTATTATTAAAAACAGGTTACCAATAATTTCTGGTTATTTAGGCTATTTAGCTGTACAAAAAGCTAAACTGGGATGTTTTTGGCAGAAGTTCTAAGTGTGTTTGATGGTTATGTTGTGAATAGCCATCAGGTGATGATAAATGGAGAGAAAAATTATATGATCAATTGGATAGGTAGCTTTGGGGTTTGAAATCCATAAAAAAGAAGAAAGGAAACAATTAATAGCCAATAAAAATCACTATCCCCAGATGGTGACCGGAGACATGATGGTGGAGTTGCTCTGAAAACTTCAAGGAAGGTCTTTGTGTTCAGTGGTTGATTCCTTAATGATCTGAAAAGAGAAGAGATTTCAGTTAGAAATAGGGGGAAAAAATTAACAGATCTCTGCTGGGGGTTTTGTGTGAGTTGCATGAGGCATCAGGTGTGCTGAGCCTCAGTGAAAGAGTGTGAAAACCTGCAGGAGGGTTCAACATTGCCCTCCAGAGGGAATGACTAAGAGGTGCAATGTGCAGATTAAACTGTTTCAGATTCATACTGGCGGCGTTAATGCACATACCTCCCCATCTCTGGTCTCCACGGTTCGAACCAGGATGCTCCTCTTCACATGGGCCTCTGGGGTTTTAGTGTCCAGATTAGTCTCTAAGCAATAAATGAAGGAGAAAGAAGGGATGTTTAGTGCAGCCCAAACAATGAGAAACCGTTAACTTCTTTTCAAAAGTGTTTTTTTCCCCCTTTTTTCTCTGCCTTAAAGTATAATTACACAAAACATTACCAAGATGATTACAGAGAAGTGACCCTCTGATCTATCAAATCCACATTGGGTTTGGATTTTCTGTCATTTTTATAACAATACACAGTGTGACAAAAGAAAACACGATCACATGATTCAGCAGTCACACAGTAATGAAGTGCATCATGGAGTTGCCCAACATCTCAACACTGCAATCTTTATTTTCACAGATGGGTTTCTGGCTTCAGTCAAGTGCCCTCCGTCACAGAATGAACCTTGAGCAAAGGACTAACTCCGAGTTCTTGGCTAATTTGGGAAAAGCTCCAGCAGAAACCCTTTCCATGCTGAAGGATGTGTACGAGGAGCAAACATTGTCCTGTATGTGTGTCTCAGACATCGTCAGTGGTCCTGACCTTCATCTTTGCCCCTTAGTACCTTACAACAAAGGCTCAGGTGTGATTTTGGACAACAGAACAAATTAATTCAGTTGGTCAGGATAGGTTTTCCAACCAGGAGTTACTTTTCGAATCTAATCAGTCCCCTCTTTCACAGATCTGCAGGTAGGCATTTAAGTTTTTATTCTAGACTACTGCAACTCTGTACTTAGGTCTACTTGTATCAGAAACTTATTTAGTATTTTATATCTGTTGAACTTGTTGTCTAGTTGCCTGTTTTGGTCCATTCTATGTTTCGGTTCTTAAAATATTGTACAGAACTTTGGCCTACAGTTGTTGTTTCAAAATGTGCTATAAAAAAGCTTGACTTGATTTTAGGATGTGTTCACAGTCTCCAGAAGATGAGTCCTAATGTTTGTCATCACTGCTCCAATGTATTGTTGTCGTGGCACATTTAGATGAAAATGTATTCTATTTTACGAACAAACATTGTTCATCTGTATCTTTTGAAGTTTGAGCATCAAAAAAGCAAAAACTGTTAAATCAACTAAGGGAGGAAAATATGAGTTCAGTTTGATGCTGACCTCTAAACTGCAGGTTGGAAAAGCTCTGAACCGGAATAGTGATCCTGCAGGAAAAGAAAGGAAAAATCAGTACAACACTCACTTGATTCATTACTTAAGTCAAATCCAGTCATGTTTTCCAACCCTCACCTGCTCTCCTCTCCCTCCAGCAGCTTCCTATAGGTGGCAATCTCAATGTCCAGAGCCAGTTTGACATTGAGGAGGTCCTGGTACTCCTGCAGGTGTCTCGCCATCTCCTCCTTCAGCGCCTGGATCTCCTCCTCCAGGTGGCTCACCGTATCCTGGTAACCGGCCGTTTCCATGGCGCAGCGGTCCTCCATCTCCCGCAGCTGGCGTTCCAGAGACTCGTTCTCAAGGAGAAGAGAGAAGAAAACATGATGAACTCTGCTGCTTAAAGTCATTTGGTTTTATTATAATCCTAGGAGTTTCACTAAAAACCACCTGGACTTCTTTTTTAGGCTCTTGAAGATGTTTCACCTCTCATCTAAGAAGCTTCTTCATTTAGAACTGACTGATGGAGAGTCTCAGGTGTATGTAGTCAACTAAAACTGTCACGGCTAATAGCCGTAAATTAAACACCCAAGACTCAAACACCTCGAGGTGTGGATGGTTGTGAAGCTGCCTGGTCAGAGGTGACTCAAGATGTTAATGGTGGTCAAACTTCCATCTCAACACTGCGTTACAGGTGCTTAATAATTGCTGTTGTCCTCCCTAAAATAGTTTTTACTGTCATTGCCACCAAACCAGTTATTCACAGCATCACAAAGTCATGTCAGATTGTGTTTGAAAAGCTTACATTTTACTAAGTAATATGGTAAAAACAGATATTTGCTAAGTTAACACTAAAAGTTACTATGTATAGTTCTTGTATTATAAATTGCGATTTTTTTTCCTTTACACTAATATGCTCTCCTCAGAGAGACAAATGCACGATTGTCTCAAATGAACAAAATATTTATCAGGGTAATCCAACTTTATTTCCAAACCAAAAGCAAAATGTTTTTGACTGGGAAAGTCAGTCACGTGATCTCAGTCATGGGAATATCTAAAACATGCAGGATTGCGGCCCTCGAGGACCGGATGTCGACACCCCTGGTGTAAATACTCTCAAATTAAAGGACAAGTGTGTAGCATGAACTGACAGAGAACAATGGAAGATGCAGGATTGTATACACACAGAGATCTAATTAGGGAAACAATGAGATTAACAAGACACAGGTGAAATGAATCAAGAAGGGAGGGAAAAATAGACAAAGGGAGGCAGTAAAAACACAAGTGATGCACAAAGAAAGGTGTTTTCACAGTAGAATAGTAAGTAAACAGAACTGAAACCAAAGACACTACAGAGTAACTACGGTGATCTACAGGTTTTCTGTCGTCGTTTTTTCCAATTTGATTTTGTTTCTTCATATTTTTGCTTCTTTGATAATAAGGATTCCAGCTCCCTTGCTGTTTCTTCTGCATAAAAGTCTGACTCTCAATTTGTAGAAATTTGGTTTCCAAACTTACAACACAAATTGGTTTGCCAGCACCATTAACCACTGATTCCTCTTCTCTCTTCTTTGTTGGTGCCACAAAACTAAAGCTACCACTTCAACACAAAAACATGAAAGATCTCTCCAGTGTTTGTTTGTTTTATCCATTCTGGGCTACCGTAGAAACATGGCAGAATCCATGGAAGAAGACTCACTCACATACATGTGAAAACTTCATACGAAGCTCACAATAACACAGCGATGTATACTAATGCAATTAAAGAATTTCTGCTGATAGATCCCCTTTAATCCTACACACTGGTCATTTAAAGCTTTTTAGAGTCAGCACTTCAGCTACAGAGTTGCTGTTTAACTTCAAAACTAACGTGCTAGAAAACAAAGCCAGCAAAACCAAAACACAATGTTGTAAAGAGTTTTAAATGCAGTGAAATATTTTAGAGCCAAAGTTCATTTTATAATAAGTTCAAGTTTAATGTTCCTTATAGAAAATACGACCATCTCAGCTGACTGAAGAAGGAGAGAGACAACAAGGACTGGTCACTGATTATTACTCAGTACATTGACAGATTTTCACATCGTGCTTTCTGTGGTTTGATGGACTTACTGTGCCTCGGAGAGCCTCCAGGTCGCAGGTCACCACTTGGATCTGACGCCGATATTCGTTGGCCTCCTGCTTGGCCTGGCGCAGGGCTTCTGCGTTTCGATTGGCTGCATCTGTCAGGTCAGAAAACTGTGCGCAAAAACATACAACAGCTTGTTTACACGTCTAAGGTTCATTATTTTCTTATTTGTTATATAGTCTATTCATCTTTATATCTTAATAGAATTCTCGGACCTTGGACCGGTACCATTCCTCCGTCTCCTGCATGTTTGAGGAGGCCATGGTTTCATACTGGACCCTGATGTCTCTCAGAGCAGCAGTCAGGTCTGGTTTGGACACATCCAGGTCAACGTGGACCTGCTGGGCCAGGATCTGCTCCTGCAGCTCTCGCAGCTCCTGAAAGGAAAAAAATTACAATTTACACGAATTACACAGACGTAAATATACTAAAAGTTGCCTCACTATTTCTCATCTTTCCCCTCCTACTTTCAGTTTTTATTCTTACCTCCTCATGAATTTTCTTCAGGAAGTTTATCTCATCCTGCAGGGCATCGATCTTCCTCTCTAACTGGACACGATTTAGAGCCGCCTCATCCACATCCTGTGCAAAGAAGGCGTCACACAGAGGGATGAGATCGGACAGTCGGACATATTGAATGCTTAAATTATTTAGTTTGTGATTCTTGGGAGCAGAATTACCTGTCTGAAGCTGTTCAAATTGTTCTCTGCGTCCTGGCGGAGGGAAACCTCGTCTTGCAATCTGGGTCCAAAAAGGAGAAAAGATGACAAGCAAAAATATCACAAAGCTGCTTATTTCTCCTCAATTATTCAAGAAAAACATGCTTGTTTAAGTGCATTTGCTCTAGTAAAGCAACACCTTCATCACTGCCACAATTTCTTTTCAAAGTTCTTAATAATTTCCAGTTAGGCCATCGTATATATGAATTCTTTTCCTGCTAGCTCCTTCATAGTTAACCGGTAGGAGCAAGCACACAGTTTTCTGCAATTCAAATGAGACTTTTCTATAATAAGGACTCATACTGTGAGCTCTGAAAACATATTTTAAACATTTTCCTCAGACTGTTACTGTGAGCTCCAGAGCTGCTCCCCGTGCTGCAGAGAACGAGCGGGGCTCAGCTGAAAGGGCAGCTTACGCATCATTACACATTCACTCCAATCTAACAGCCAGAGGCCTTTCCCACGGGATGGAGTTCACACACACAAGTATAAAAAAGATCCATGTAAGCACAGCGTCATCCACAGACAGACACCACCCTACAATCCATCTGCCCTACACACACAGAAAGACGTGGAAATATAAACGCTCAGACTTGGGGTAACATCTGTACAGCTTCACGCGGAGTTTGCTGAATCAAAGTGCTTCGAGGGGAGCAGCAGAAATCACAAAGGTGACCTCTGACCCTCTCAGCCGCGTCCATCGCTATTCACTCTGCGTTCTTTCAGAGGACCAGCAGCTGCAATCAGAGGAGTCTGGAGTAGGTTTGTTCACCCTCTGAGACTTTCAATCACTCACTCTCAACACTACAATTAAATTACAGATTCACACCACGAGGGGATAAAAAAAAAAAAAGAAAAGAAAAAAGCTTGATATGTGACAGCAGTGAATCAGTGTTTTTGGTAAAACAGGGGACAAGAGAACATCTGCCTGGCTGTCTGCTCCCCTTTTGTGGAGAGCTGCCATTGTGTTTGCCTCATTCCTCCACACTCGCTCAATGGCGGCGAGGGGTTCAGTCAGGATCAAGTTTGTAAAGAGGGATCCAGGAGCAAAGCTCAGGCAGAGCACAGCGGTCTGCATTCCAACGAATCACAAACAAAACCCGATCTGCATATAAATGCATGTGTAATTAAAAAAAGAAAACTGGATAAAAAACCTTCCACCTATGCAAAGAGTCTGACTTATTTTGTGCCAAGATACATAAAATCTAGTCAGAATGAATTTGTTTTCCTTGTGCTGTAAACCCAGAGCAGCCAGCAACACTAAACCAAAGGTAAGTTAAGCAAAATCTGCTGTCTACACATTTGTGTGCAAACTCTGACAGTACAATTAAGTTTAATGCATCAGATGTATTCTGAGTGCTTTCAAAGAAAAGCAAAGACTCCAAATAATCTTGCACACGTACTCCAAGAAGAAATTCAGAGCTTAATGAAAGCACATACAGAAGAGTTTCTTCCTCCTCCCTTTTCTTAATTCACTTAAAAAAAAAATTTAAAAAAGTCAGGTTATAGTAAGAGACTCTTTAGGTTTGGTTTGTAACAGTATACAAAGTTTATGCAGACTGTTTCAGTGACATACAGCTGTAAATGTCAGTTCTGTCATTAGCAAGTCCAAGCAACTAAAACAACATATTTAATTTCATTGTACATATATATATATGTGTGTGCGTGTGTGTGTGTGTGTGTGTGTGTGTACACACGCACACATAATTTTATAAAACTTGACAAAGAGTAAACAAGAGACACAAAGGGGTGGTACGACTGTGATCATCCACCCATAGGAGTCCCGCCCTGTTTACTCCTACACTCTAAGAAGGAATACAAGGCACCTATTGCCAGCATGTGATCAAATGCTTGTGGGCAAGAGAAAATGTCTTATTTATTGATCTAAATAAACCACTTTAAGTTGCAAAAATAATTTTGATGGCTTTAGTTGACATAAACAATGTTGGTAATTGCATCAACTTAACACAAATTTCTACATGAGTCGATTTCAAACTTAATTCAAGTTGAGGTAACTTAATATAATTGGCTTAATGAAATCATTTGTCTTCACCTTGAGGTCACGATTTTAAGCCCCCTCTCCTACATAGTTCACATTGAAGCAACTTAAATTTATCAACCTGAGAATGAAGTTGAAAACACTTGAAAAATTCCTTTAAATAACAAGAAAATAGTTGTTGGATCAATTTAATCTTTATGAATAATCAACTGAAAAACTTTTTTTGTTGTTGTTTATGTTACTTATCATTAAGTAAGTGGTAGTTAAAAATTCTTTTTATTGTAAAGGACGAGGTAATTCCCCTTATTCTTTGTAGTTTGTTGCTTGAACATAATTTCATTAGAAGTTGTCACAACTCAGAAAGATAGATTTTTGTTCTTGAGCCCAAGCGTTGTTCTTTAGAGTGTACCTCTGCTTCAGCGTGGCCACATCTGCAGCCAGGTTGTCCCTCTCGATCTCCAGCCGAGCCCTGCCGGCGGTGAGGCCGTCCACCTGCCTCCTCAGCTCCCTCAGCTCCTCCTGGTAGATGTCCCCCAGGCGGCTGGGCTCCTTCCCCTTCAGCTGGTTCAGCTCCGCCACCAGCACCTTGTTCTGCTGCTCCAGCAGGCGAACCTTCTCGATGTAACTGGCGAAGCGGTCATTCAGGCCCATCATCTCCATCTTCTCATTGGTGCGAGTTTCCTTGAACTGGGCCTTCATCAGAGAGTCGGCTGAGAAGTCCAGCCGATCAGCGGGGCTCCCCAGCAGCAGGGCCGTGCTGGTGGAGCCCAGGGAGATCCTGGATATGGGGCTGGAGTGGGTGAGGTTGCGAGGGGTGCCATGCCAGGAGAGGCGGCTGGAAGAAAGGCCACCGACTCGGACTGCTGTGCTGCTCGAGCCCTGGGGCCCGAACCGCTTTCTGTAGGAGGACTGGACTCTCTGACTCTCCATGATGGGGAATGAAGCTCGCTCGGGGCACAAACGGGGCTTTTATAGAGGCAGCCAAACCCCCCAAGTCCAAGGCAGAGAGGCCACAGGGTGGGGCAGGGAGAATGGAGGGTGGCAGGCGGTGAATGGGACAAAAAAGGGAGAGCGAAGGGGTGGTTTACATGACACTCAGAAAGCTGTGTGCCAGGGATTGTCTGTGCTCGTCCACTCAACTACAAATGTCTCTTGGCTTTCTCCCTCTCCTCTCCCCCCGCTCTCCTCCCCTTCTCCCCCAGCCTCTGACTCACTCTCTCTCACTCTTACTTTCACCCCCTTTTTGTCTTTCTCGCTTTCTTTCTGCTCCAGCTGAATGAAAAGGAATTTGTGTGACAGGGTCTGGCTACCAATTCAACCTGACCACACATGCACTCTCAGAAAAAAAACAAAAACAGAAACAGAGTTTGATCAGACAAAGGGATGCTGGGAAGAGCTCCTCGCTCCGAAGTCAGAGAACACAACTGCAGATTGAAAGACGGAGCAGATGTGGTGGTATATATAAAATGCATTCCTGAGCGTATCAGAAATGTCCATCATTTGAGCCTGTAGGACTCAGTGGAATTGCCCTTTGGTCTGCACTGTGTGAGGAGATAAACAGCATGTAGGACAGAACCCCTGAGCTGTTGTCTCTCCTCTTTGGATCACAGTTTAGGGCAGTTATATAACAAGGACATAACTGCCTGCAATTATTCACCAAACACCTGCTCTAAAGGGAATAATTTATCATAAAATCAGGTTCAGAGGGTTCAGCAAGAAAGGTGTGGTTAAAAACAACAATAAACAGATGATATAAAATGCATTTCCAGGGAACTGTGTCAAGTATTTCTGAGGTATTTTAAGCCTTTAATTTGAACAATAATGTCATTAAAATATAAAAGAGAGAGAGATGCATCTGCAGCTGGGTTCAAACCCAGATGTTGATGTTTATGGTTAACATAAATGAAACTTCTAAATCTGCTTTAAGAACATTTTCATGCTTGATTTCTTTGGACAAAACAATGCGTTAAAGTGTCGTTTTGTTTGTATTTGTCTCAAAAAAAAACAAAAAAAAAAAAGCAAAAGAAACCAAGATAACAATAAGACTGTCATTAGGATTAAACTACCATGACTATTTTCAAACTTAACATTAAGGTAATATTGTAAGATCTTAAGTTCAGTCATTAAATACATTATATGATGCGAAAAGTTACAGTGAAAAACTGTAATTTTGGCAACTTGGCAAAATATCTCTAACTCATCATTGCACCTTTGTTTGACCATTATGCTGCAGGAGAACTTGCACACTTTAATTATAAGCAGAGAAAGAACACAACAGATACTGCGATTAAGACTGTAAGACCGTGGGGTGTTTACTGTGGGCTTATTAGATGTCTTGCTGCTTCCAAAGACAGACGGATGGTAGAGATGAGGGGCCGACTTAATCTGAACTCCAGGAGGACTAAGAGGGGCGGCGTTACGGAGCCATTTTCATCCATTACCTTGACAACGGCAGGGCTGGAGCACCTCAGCTGATCTTTTCCTGACTCCTCTTTGAAGAAGACACGATTTGTGGAGACTGGTTTATTCCTTAAAAACAAGAAGAATGAAGGCATTAGAATTCTATGACACAAAAAACATTGTCAAAAAATGATAGGATTAGTAAAAAGATATCAGACAGGCGAAAAATACCCTGGAAAAAAACAGTTAATCGTACTATTTAGGTAATTAAAATCTAAAGTGCAAAAACATATATGCACGCTCTCGTTTTTTCCCCTTATTTGCCAATCAGATGCAAGGAAAAAATATTTAGGTTTTCATTTTTGTCCTTCAGTGATTTTACAGTGAATTTACTAAAGTAAAGTAACAACACAGCAAAGTAAAAATATTTAATTACATGCAAAAGTCCTGCAAGAAATATTCTACTTAAGCATTAGCAGCAACATGTAGCTCAAGTATGAAAGCATAAATCCTTGTTTGGTCCCTCTGACTGATATATTCTTATATGTGTCATTAATAGATTATTATTAGTGAAGCATCAGTGTGTCAGCAGCAGGTTACTGCAGTTTGAACTACTTTATATCTAGTTCTATAAACAGGGACAGCAGATAAATCTGAGGGTGTATCACATGATTAATAATACTAATAACTTTATTTGTATAGAACCTTTGGGAAACAAATTTACAAAGCGCTTTCCAAAAAAAAGTCAAATTACTCAGATGTTAAAACCAAATTCAACAAATAAATAAGACAACAGTCACTGCGCCAAAGTGCCTTCCTGTACAAACAATTATGACTGATGTCAAGAAAGAAACGTAATAACATTGCAGATTCAGTCGTATTATGTCGGGTGAGATTATACTTGAGTACTTTACATATTAGATACTAAACCCTGCGCAAGTTATATGAAGTACTACTTTACTTGACTATAATAAACATCAAGGCTGAGACCTGACAAAGGTACTGCTTGTGGAGAATAACCTAATTAATGTTCATTCCATCACTTAACTTAGCCTAACCAAGCTCAAACCCTACCCAGTTATTAATTTTGGAGGCAAACCTCTCTAAGTTATGCTTTTTTAAAATGAAAGATAAAAGTTGTCATCCACAAATCTGTTGCATGTTTTTGTCTAATCTTTGATTTTTGGTGAGAAGTTGGACTATTTGAACATTTAGTACAATGAAACCACATTTAGAGAGAAATTTGCTTTTTGGTGGAGCTTTTAACAACTCATGGACGTCTGAAACATCTGACCCAACAACACAATGCTTTTTGCAAGAGCCCTTTCATTTATTTAATTTAGCGTGGAGAGGCCTGGTTTAATCTTTAACTATGCGCTGTGTTTTAGAAGCTACTTATAGTATCCATTGCGTATAGTCTTACAGAAAGCTGTCAGATAAATGTGAGTTGTGTAGAAAGTACAATATTTTGTCCTGAAATGTAGTAGAGTTGAAGTATAAGTACAGGACTTGATAAATATGCTTTGTCACTTTAAAGCACTGGTAGTTCACTGTTGTATTTTTCAGCTCTTTTATTTTCCTATTAGTTTCATCGGGCTCTATATACTCCACATTTTTCTTATCAATTATTTCAACTATGTTCATGCGTTTTACTGTTCTTGATTTGTTTTTGTCCTTTCATTTCAAACAGTCATTGGTTTTACTTTGACAAACAGGCAAAGAAAGCGTAATAGCTACTGATATTGAGAAACAAACAAACAAAAACAAAAACAAAAAAAACAAGATTCAAGAGTAAACTAAGTGGCCGCCAGAGTGGAAAATCAGGAAAACGCATCCAAACTGTTAAATCTATTGAGGCTAGCGAGATAAAACCTGCAGAAACAGTAGCACGGTCATTTAACTGCTGTGTCGCTTCAGGTAGTAAAACCACAACAGCACTGGTACATAAAGGCCTTCTTTGTTAGCGGGTCATAAAATCACAGGGAGTGGAAACCAGTGGTACTGGGAGACAGTGAATAAAGCCCCAGTGACTCCACTATCTGGCCTCTGAGTGTTGTTGCCGTTACAGAAGAAACACAACAACACAGTGTCTTGAATTCCAATTGGACTCAGTTAATAGAGGTTAAACGAGATGGCACACTGTAAGCCTGGCAGAGATTTGTTGATTTAAAAGGCTCCGTCTCTAAGGATTAATGGCGCGGTTGCATCATTAAGGTGACACTAAATGTTTCGGCTCTGTGGATTTTTTAGACAATCGCCGCCGTTGCCTCAGATCTGGTCACTGAGGTAATACGTCCAGATGATTAAACATCCACTCAGACAGAGGGGGGAAGGTGCTAGTGCAGACCTCTAACTCTGCTCCCTCCCTGCTGCTGCTGGAGGCAGCGGAGAGCCAAGTCAAACAGCTGATTCATGTGTCTCACATGAGGAGACCATCTCATCTGCAGGACCAACCAGGGGAAGGGGTGCAGGGCAGAATCTCAATGCTGCTGCACTGATGTCAGGCCAAGGCAACCAGGCTGCCAGCTAAGTTTGACTGCTCTGGCATTTTACAGCCAGAATCCCAGTGTGAACCTCTCAACTACCATTCTTCAACCTCACTGATGTCTGAATGTACGTGGCCACATACCAAACTGAATCCTGACCAACGAGCTGGAAACATGAGTGACTCAGCCCCACCTTTCTGTCTGCTTCAAGGCCAGACAGGGTGGTAATTAAACAAGGAGTGGGTCCTAATTAGGAACATCAACTCTTGGTTTAAAAATGGACTGTTGCAAGTTTTAGCCGGTTTAAAAACCCACTGACAGGTTTGAAAGGCAAGTCATCTTTATAGGAAATCAACCAAATGACACAATTTATCAGAGAAATTAACTGCAAAGACAAGAAGAATCATTAGATTTTTTTACTTTCTGACGGTTCTCAAAAAAAAGAACCAAATCTAAGCCTAAAATACTGATATTTCATCATTCTACATGTCTAATTAAAACTTCTAATTTAAAATTAAACCATTTGAAATAACCATGTACCAATTCACATCATTAATAGAAGCACAAGCTGTAAAGAATCGTTGGAACTGTCACAACAGTCCTTAGATCAATAATGTGTGTCGTGCAGTTCTGTTGGGGAAATTAACCAAATCTAATCTTAAAATTGGGACATTTCATCTAAATTACTTCATTCTACGTGTCTCATTTAAAATGTCTCCACTAATACACCATTTACACGAACTAGATTCTGTAGAAAAAACTAAAAATTCTGTTCTCCTCCCTTTTTGTCCCTATAAGTTATGGCATTATAACTTTAATATATGAAACAAAAAGAAATTTCTCTCTTTCTTTCTTTCTTTTTTTAATCTAGCATTCATTAGACAACCTCTAGTTGGAATGTTAATTATAAATTCATGAAAAACAAACATATAGATTTGAACATATATTTAACAACAGCAACGTTACAGTGACAATACGAACCAGAGGAAACTGAGCAAAATGGAATCTGTAGTTTCCTCGAAGATCTCTGGTTGTTGGGAAAGGTGAAAATTCTTTTTTTTTTTTTAAATTGAGCTTTTACAAATGACACGACATGAGAATTTACACAAACATGCAAGACACAAGACAAACATCAAGTAAGTGCAACAATGTATATAAATCTATTATCAGCAATTTCCCTGAGGTACCCCACCGAAGGGATCAATAAAGTTCTATCTAATATAATTATTTAAGGGAAAAAGAAAAGTTATATATATATACACATGTAAATGTACATAAAATAATAATAATACAAAATTAAATAAATAATCATATTTCCACCAACAGAAGACAGAAGGCAAAACAACAGCAATAGAAACAACACTAATGCTGGCTTTAACAGTCATTCAAGTGATATCTAGAATCAACGCCATAGCAAGACAGCAACAATGAATTCAATAATAACAATAACAACAACAACAATTATTATCATTATTGCTATCATTACCATCACTGTCATTACCTCAGCTGGGATAGACTCCAGCCCCCTGCGACCCCTGTGAGGACCAAGCAGCACACAGACAATGGATGGATGGACTATCATTACCATCACTATCATTACCATTAGAATAATAATAATTAATAACCTAGGCCCAGCCAGGCAGGGGCTACTTAAGCAGGCTCAAGTAATTAGTTGAAGTGGGTGCCACACCGCCACACAGCAAACCAGACCACCCCATCCTCCACCCAGCACTCAAACCTTTATATATCACCTGTCCCCACCTGCATGCCACACCTAACCTGTGTTAGATTTGATTGTGCTGACTGTGTCGGGTTTATTCTAAGCTAGTGTGATGCATTAAAAACATTGGTCAGTGAGCAGTCTTGTCTTGCACTAGGCAAGCGTCTGAGCAGGGGCTCAACTACGGCAGCTGCCCCGCAAGAGGACCCTCACTAAGACATTCCTGTAGAGGTGCAAAACTTTATATTGCAGTGAAAAATGAGCCCACAGTCAGTAAAAATGTGACAGGAGCAAAG